CCCTCTCCCCCACCCTTCTCCCCCACTCCCACTCCTTCTCCCTAACCTCCTCTCCCTTCTCCCTGCCCTCCTCTCCATTCTCACTGCCTCCCAGTGACCGGGAGATTGTACAGACTCTGTCCCCACCCTGGGGCTGCAGAGAACACACGCGGAAACGAACCGATTTGATGAATCGCTGTGAATTTAAACCGAATCAGCAAAAGGTCACGGCCCCTGAAGGGGCCATTTGGCCCGTCATGTCGGTACGGCCCTCTCTTGCAGCAACGTGCCCGGTGCCATTCCCCCCCTTTACATTAATGCCTCCACTTTAGGGTCCGATCTAATTCCTTTCTGTAGGTCTGAGGGAACGCGCTCTCCAGCTCACTCTCAGGAAGGAAAAAGCTGCAGTTGATCAGTACAGCCCCATGGCCAACTAGTGGGAAAAATGCATCGGAACTAATGTGTGAGGAAATTACAGATTGCCAGCATGGTAGAGTAATTACAATGAGGCACTTTAATTAGCAGCCTGTAGATTGGGAATAGCATAGGAAGGCAGCAGCACCAGAGTTGGATGATTAGCCCTGATCACACTGAATGGCTGAGCAGACTCAAAGGTGTGAATAATCTACTCCAGCCCCTATTTATGTTTCTTTGTGTATCAGCATTTATTATCCTGAAGTCGGACTTTGAATAAAAAAGCATGCATTTGATGATAATTGCTTTTGCTGTCAGTTTGTTTAGATTCACCTGGGACACAAAGTCTAAGAGTTCTTTGATGAATTGACCAGGAAGGTTGATGAGGGCAGGGTGGTAGACATAGTCTATATGGATTTCAGTGAGGCCTTTGATAAGGTTCCACATGGTAGGCGGCTCTGGAAGGTTAGATTGAAATGAATCCAGGGAGAGCTGGCAATTTGGATTCACAGTTGGCTTGATGGTAGGAAGCAGAAGCAGAGTTTGTTGGACCGGAGGCCTGTGACTAGTGGTGTGCCTCAGGGGTTGGCGCTGGTCCCCATTGCTATTTGTTATCTATATCAATGACTTGGATGAGAATGTACAAGGCATGATTCGTAAGTTTGCGGATGCCACTAAAATAGGCGGTATCGTGGGCAGGGAGGAAGTTTATCAGAAATTGCAGCAGGATCTTAATCAGCTGGGGCAGAGGGCCGAGAAATGGCAAATGGAGTTTAATGTAGGTAAGCGTGAGGTGTTGCATTTTAGAAAGTCAAATCCAGGTAGGAGTTTCATGGTGAATGGAAGGATGTCATTAAACTGGAAAGAGTGCAGAAGAAAATTCTTTTTCTTTATTCATTCACAGGATGAGGGCATCACTGGCAAGGCCAGCATTTATTGTCTGTCCCTAGTTGCCCATAGGCCAGTTTAAGAGTCAACCACATTGCTGTGGTTCTGGAGTCATATGTAGGCCAGACCAGGTAAGGATGGCAGTTTCCTTCCCTGAAGGACATTAGTGAACCAGATGGGGTTTTCTGACAATCGACAATGGATTCGTAGGCAGTAGATTCTTAATTCCAGACTTTTTAAAAATTATTGAATTCAAATTCCACCATCTGCCGTGGCAGGATTCAAACCCAGGTCCCCAGGACATTACCTGGGTCTCTGGATTAACAGACCAGTGATAATACCACTGGCCATCACCTCCCCAAGGAGGCAATTTACATTTACAAGGATGTTGACAGTACTCAAGGGTCTGAGTTATAGGGACAGGTTGGTTAAGCTATGACCTTTTTTGAGTCTAGGAGACTGAGGGGGTATCTTATAGAAGTGGAAAAGATCATGAGAGGTATGGATAGGGTGGATGCACTCAGTATTTTGCTCAGGTTTGGGGAATTGAAGAGTAGAGGGCAGCAGTTTAAGATAAGTGGGGAAAGAATTCATGGGAACCTGAGGGGCAACTTCTTTACACAGGTGGTATGCGTATGGAATGAGCTGCCAGCAGAAGTGGTTGAGGCGGGTACATTAACAACATTTAAAAGGTATTTGGACAAATACATGGATAGAAAAGGTTTAGAAGGATATGAGCCAAGTGCAGGGAAATGGGGTTAGTGTGGATGAATGTTTGGTTGGCATGGACCAGTTTGAGCTAAAGGGCCCATCTCTGTGCTGTAGGACAATAACAGCAGTCTGTGTGTGTGTATGTCTAATATATATGTACATGTATAGATTTAAACTGATGTGCAAAATAAATTTGTTCATCCAGGCAGTAGTGAGGGTGTAGAATGCACTGCCTGGAAATGTAGTGGAAGCAGGATCAATTGAGGCATCCAAGAGGATCATTGGATGGTAATTTAGATAGAAATGGTGTGCAGGTTTATGGGAAAAAGCAGGAAATTGGCCCTAGGGGAAATAATGCTCATTTGAAGAGTCAGTGCAGGACAATGGGCTGAATGGCCACCTCCTGCACTGTAACAGAAATTCTTGGGATCTATCTTAACTGCTTTGTTGTTTGATCAGCTCTGGAAGGTGCTTGACCATGTGTATCTGATACTCAAAATTACCTCAGATTAATTCTAACTGAATGTCAGAATACAACTGTACATATACTGTAGATTGTATTACTGTTCTAACTTTTGTTGTTTGTTCAAAACTCTGATAGCTTTATTTTCTTAAATAGCTTAAGGAACTGAGTTTAAGGCATTGTCGCTAAGTTTGCAGATGACACTAATATCAGAGGTGTAGTGGACAGCGAAGAAGGTTAACTCAGAGTAAAACATGATCTTGATCACATGGGCCAATGGGCTGAGGAGTGGTGGATGGAGTTTAATTTAGATAAATGTGAGGTGCTGCATTTTGGAAAGGCAAATCAGGGCAGGACTTACACACTTAATGGTAAGGTCCTGGGGAGTGTTGCTGAACAAAGAGACCTTGGAGTGCAGGTTCATAGTTCCTTGAAAGTGGAGTCGCAGGGAGACAGGATAGTGAAGAAGGTGTTTGGTATGGTAACCTCTATTGGTCAGTGCATTGAGTATAGGAGTTGGGAGGACATGTTGTGGCTGTACAGGACATTGGTTCGGCCACTATTGGAATACTGCATGCAATTCTGGTCTCTCTCCTATAGAAAGGATGTTGTGAAACCTGAAAGGGTACAGGAAAAAAAAATTTACAAGGATGTTGCCAGGGTCGGAGGGTTTGAGCTATAGGGAGAGGCTGAATAGGCTGGAGCTATTTTCCCTTAAGCGTTGGAGGATGAGGGGTGACTTTTAGAGGTTTATAAAATCATGAGGGGCATGGATAGAGTAAATAGACAAGGTCTTTTCCCCAGGTTGAGGGAGTCCAAAACTAAAGGGTATAGGTTTAAGGTGAGAGGGGAAAGATTTAAAAGGGACTTGGGGGCAACTTTTCCACATAGATGGTAGTACAAGTATGGAATGAGCTGCTAGTGGAAGTGGTGGAGGCTGGTACAATTACAACATTTAAAAGACATCTGGATGGGTATATGAATAGGAAGGGTTTAAAGGGATATGGGCCAAATACTGGCAAATGGGACTAGATTTATATAGGATATCTGGTCAGCATAGACAAGTTGGACTGAAGTGTCTGTTTCCATGCTGTATATCTCCATGACTCTGTGACACAAAGATAACTGGAGGTAGAGGTAGTGTTAAGGAAGTGGGGGAGGCTGCAGAAGGACTTGGACAGGCTAGGAGAATGGGCAAAGAAGTGGCAGATGGAATAAAATGTAGGGAAGTGTGAGGTTGTACAATTTCATGGGAAGCATAGAGGGGGAGACTATTTTCAGAAATCTGTACCACAAAGGAACTTGGGAGTCCTAGCTCAGGATTTTCTTAAGGTGAACACGCAGGCTCAGTTGGCAGTTAGGAAGGCAAGTGCCATGTTTACCTTCATTTCAAGAGAGCTAGAATACAACAGGAAAGATGTACTGCTGAGGCTGTACAAGATTCTGGTCAGACTGCATTTGGAATATTGTGAACAGTTTTGGGCCCTGTATCAAAGGAAGGATGCTTTGGCCTTGGAGAGGGTCCAGAGGAGGTTCACAAGAATGATCCTGGGGATGAAGGTCTTGTCATATGAGAAGCTGCTGAGGACTCTGGGTGTGTACTCGATAGAGTTTAGAAGGATGAGGGGACATGTCATTGAAACTTAGAGAATACTGAGAGGCCTGGGAAGAATGGATGCGGAGAAGGTGTTTCCACTGGAAGAAGAGACTAGGACCTGAGGGCACAGCCTCAGAGTGAAGGGACGACCCTTTAGAACTGAGATGATGAGGAATTTCTTCTTTCAGAAGGTTGTTAAGCTGTGGAAATCATTGCCACCAAGGGCTTTGGAGGCTAAGTCGTTCAGTGTTTTTAAGACAGAGATAGATAGGTTCATGATTAATAAGGGGACCAAGGGTTACACGGAGAAGGCAGGAGAATGGGGTTGAGAATTGTACGAGCCATGACTGAATGGCAAAGTAGACTTGATGGGCTGAATGGCCTAATTTTGCTGCTATATTTTATTGTCTTATGGTCTATCACACACACTGCGTACTTTTAAAAAAGGTTTCTGGCACCAGTCAGATTGCAACATATATTTAATGATCCGATCTGGGATCTAATACTCAACAAGCCATTGCTATCAATTACAAGATTCTAATTTGCAAGTCAGCAAATCATTTTTTTAAACCATGCAACACAATTCTGAACTTGGAAATCACCAACTGATGCTTAAAATTTAGATTACTGTTAAAGTAGTTAACCAGGATAACTTACATGGCAATGCAAAGCTGAGGATGGTGATAAATGACAAACAACAAACTCAAAAAGTTTAGAGAGGAGCCTCAAGTGCTTGATTTACAGCTGTGAGTTTCCAGTCGACTGAGTGAAATATTGTTTTCAGTGACCGTGATCAATTAAGCAGATACTGAAAAAAAGGAGATTGTAACAAGCAATGTGCGCATTTGTCATACAAAACACTTCACAATAAATGTCAGAGATGGAAAAGGATAATGTATAGTTTCCATTTCATTTCCAATAATATGAAAGTAGTATAGTCTTACATTCTCAAAAATAGAACCAAATGAATAGAAATTCTAGGTTTAAAGTACACTTGCATCCAATATTCAAGAGGACAATATTTTTACAGTGTTGAAAATGGAGACAACATCACCTATGATAAATTTGATGGTGTAGTGTGGTGTTGTTATGGTGCTGGGGGCTAGCATCAATAAGTAGGCTCAGAAGAGTAAGGGTGGATCTGATTGAGGTATGTAAAATGCTATGGGAATTTCCCCTTGTGGGACAATCTCAAACAAGAGGTACATGTATAGAGTGCAAGGAGGTAGGTTCAAAACTGAGATGAGGAGAAACTGCTTCTGCCCCAGAAATTGGATCAGAAATTGGCTAGCTGTCAGAAGACAGAGGGTGGTGGTTGATGGGAAATGTTCATCCTGGAGTTCAGTTACTAGTGGTGTACATCAAGGATCTGTTTTGGGGCCACTGCTGTTTGTCATTTTTATAAATG